TCAGGTGATGGTGATTTTTCCTTGTCACCTTCTATCGAAGGTGATTTATCTTTTTGTAGTTCTGGTGATTTTTCCTTATCCGCTTCTATCGAAGGTGATTTTTCTTTTTGTAGTTCAGGCGTTGGTGATTTTTCCTTTTTATCTTCTATCGTAGGTGACTTTTCTTTTTGAATATCGGGAGTTGGTGATTTGTCTTTTTGTATTTCGAGTGAAGGCGATTTCTCCTTTTTAGCTTCCTCCAAAGGTGCTGTTTCTTTTTGTAGTTCAGGCGTTGGTGATTTTTCTTTTTCCGCTTCTATCGCAGGAGACTTTTCTTTGTGTAGTTCAGGTGATGGTGATTTCTTCTTTTCAGGCTCTATCGTAGGTGATTTATCTTTTTGTAATTCCGGTGTTGGTGACTTTTCTTTTTGTATCTCAGGTGATGGCGATTTCTCCTTCGTTGTTTCTAGCGTTGGAGATAATGATTTTTCTTTTGTTGGTGATGGTAATTTTTCTGTCTTTGCTTCCGGCATTTCTAATTCTTTTTCTTTTTCCGGTGAAGCAGACTTTCTTGATTCTTCAACTTCCGGAGAAGGTGATTTTTCTTTTTTGATAGTTTCTGGTGATCGTGACTTCTCCTTTTCTACCGGGGAAGGTTCTTTTTCTAACTTATCAGTAACTTCTTTAACCGATACTTCGCTAACTATACTAGCCGACCTTGACTTATCGTCAACTTTAACGTCTACGACACTCGGTGTCCTTGAACGATCCTCCGGTAATTTTTCTTCAATTGTTTTATCAGGTGTATAGAAATCTTCAGACTTGACAGGAGATTTCAAATCATCCTTTTCCTTTATATGATCTAATTTTTCGATCGTAGTAGTAGGAGACGTAGTTTCGATGCTTTCCTTGCTAAGACTCTTATCTTCAGTGAAGCTTGGTGAACGAGACTTATCGATTGCATCTTCATAATGTTCTCGCTCGATACCTTTATCATCCGGTTTCTTTTCATCAAATTCATCTCTTGCAGCACTTGGTGATTTACTTCTATCGATCTGGATTTTTTCCGAAACATCAATAGATTTTTCTAAATCAACATCTGGTTTTTGATCAACGCCAATACTAATGGATTCTCTTTTACTGATTGATTCTTTTCGTATACTTAAGTCATCTACTTCTTCGAGGTCAGGTTTTTCACTAGAAATGCTTGGAGATTTCGATTTCTCCGATGATTCTTTAATTTCACTAGTTGTACTTATGACACTTCCAGAACGATCCTTGTCGATTGGTCGTTCAGTAATTACATCTTCAAGATCTACCTTATCGCTAGTGATACTAGGTGATTTCGATTTTGTAATCGGTTCTTTGGTATCTTTGAAATCCAATTTTGTTTCGGCAATAGTTGGAGATATACTAGGTGATTTACTTTTCGTAATAATTTCTTCTGTTTTTGCAGTAATGGTTATGTCTTTTAGATCTTCAGTAACACCTACCGAACTTATTTTTTCATCGGTAATACTCGGAGATTTGGATTTACTATCAGCAACACTTACGGGACTAAGTGATTTTTCTTTTTCAACAAGTTTTTCTCCTATTTCTTTGGTATCCAATTTATCATCCAAAACGATTGGTAATTTTTCTTCAGATTTTTCACTCGTTATGCTAGGTGATTTACTTATTTTGATCTCGTCATCTAACTTTTCAGTAACACTTGGTGATTTTGATAAATCGATTGTTTCTTTGTCTTCGACGGTACTCTCAACGCTTACCGATCTTGACTTATCGGTAATCTTGATTTCTTCTTTATCTTCCGTGGTAACCGGTGGTTTCGTTACTTCGCTTAATTTTCTTTCAATGATTGACGGTTTCTCCAAACTTTCAGCAATACTTGGTGTTCTTGATTTGTCAATTGGTATTTCTTCGTCAGAAGGAGAGGCCTCTTTCTTAATCTCAACTTTTTCTGTTTCTAAGATTAATTCTTTCATATCTTTTATTTTATCGCTAGGTGGTTCTGCTGCAATTGCTGCTGTCACTGTCGGTTTTAATTCGGGAATTGATTCCTTAACGATCTTTTCTTCAGGTTTTTCTTCAGGTAATTTAGCACGATCTAATTTAACTTCCTCGACTTTTTTCGTATCCTGAATCTCGCTAACGACACTTGCTGATCTAGATCTGTCAGCAGCACTCAATTCTTTTTCAATGCTCGGTGATTTAGACTGTTCGTGTTCGATTTCTTCCATTTTATCGCTAACAACGCTCGGGGATCTCGATTTATCGATTAATGATACCTTTTCATCGATCTTTTCTGAAGGAGTTAAACTTCGCGATTTGGATTCCTCTTTCGATTTATCGTCAACGATACTCGGTGATTTTGATTTATCTATTGATACATCTTTCTCAATTTTGTCTAATTCATCTTTTTTAATTATTTCTTTTTCTTCTATTGTCTTATCACTAACTATACTAAGTGATCTTGGTTTCTCGACGTGATCGATTTTTTCTGCTTCTTCGCTAGCAACGCTAGGAGATCTTGATTTTTCAGCAGCTAATGTTTCTTCTTCCTCTTTTTCTAATTTTTCACTGACAATTTTATCAAGTTGTTCCTTAACAACAGGTTTCTCGATCTCCTCTTTCTTCACCTCTTCTAGTTTTAAAGATTTATCTTTATCTACAATACTTTCTTCGATATCTTTTGCACTTACAACGGCAGTAATAGGTTTATCTTCTTCAAGTGGTTTTCGTACAATCTTCTCATCGGCAAGGCTTTCTACGCTAGGACTCGGTGATTTTGATTTTTCTTTGACTATTTTCTCCTCGTCGATTTTATCAACAGTTTGTACGATTTCCTTCGATTTGTCTTCCTTCAAAATTTCAGTCTCTTTCTTTTCTATCAACGAAATATCTACAGGAACTTGAGATTCTATTTTCTCGATAGGTGATTTTGCAAATATCGATTCAGTCGGTGAAACTTCTTCGGAACGGCTAATTTCCAATGGTTTGGAAACTTCTGGTATCTTTTCATGTTTTTCTTCGATCGGCGTAGTGGTAGGTGTTCTTATTTTCGAAATTTCTTCTTCGGATAAGTCTAAAGGTGAAGGTGGTACTTTGCCAACTTCTTCTTTTTCTGGACTACCAGCTTTGCTAATAGCTTCTTTGACTTCTTCTTCTTCTTCTTCTTCTTCTTCTTTTGGAGACTCTGCTTTGCTGATTTCTTTGATCTCATCTTTGACTGGAGATACGATTTCTTCTTTTTTATCGAACTCTTTAAACTTTTCAACTTCAGGGCTAGGTGATACACTTTCAACGCTCTTTTCTTTGACGTCTAATTTCTCTAGACTATCTTCAAAATCTTGAGAGCCACGTGTATCGATTAGAGATTTATCCAAACTATCTTCAGGAGTAATTTTTTCGGTATCTTTAATTTCGGGTGGTAATTTTTCTGAAATACTGTCTTTCTCAAGAGAACTGATTCCCGATTGGATCGAATCTTTGTCCAAAAGCAAAGAATCTTTGTCGGGTGTCGTTTTAATCGATACTTCCTTCAAGGAATCATCGGGCGTAGCAATTTTAGTAAAGGTTATCGTTCCCGTAGGACAAATGTCCATTTCTTGTCCGCCATCTTCGCTACTTGCTGTTACCAACATTCTGCGAACAATTCCGGTATCTTCGGAAATTTCAGATGGTTCCAATTTTTTGACTTTTTCTTCTTCTTCTTCTTCTTCTACTTGTTTTATTTCTTCTTCGCTTTCGGATGGTTTTAGATCCTTGCTTATATCGGTTATTGGTTCTTCTTGAAGACTCCTTTTCTTTCGTATGCTTACTACTTCTTCTTCTTCTTCTTCCACCTTTTCAATTTTATCTTCAATTTTTTCTACTTTTGGTTCAATAGCGTGACCAGTTGCATCCGCTAATTTGTCATCTTTGGGAATCTTCTCATCCGGTATTTCTTCTTTTTTCTCTACTTTTGTATCAATAATCTCTGCTTTAGGCTCGATTGCGTGTCCCGTAGCGTCAGCTAATTTTTCATCGGTTATCACTTCTTCCTTTTCAACTTGTTCATCTAACTTTTTATCGATGACCTCTGTTTTTGGTTCAATCGCGCGACCAGTTGCGTCAGTTAATTTTTCATCTTGAAGAAGTTTGTCTGTAGGTTTTTCATCTTTAACAATTTTATCGTCCAATTTGGTATCGATAATTTCTCCCTTTGGTTCTATAGCACGACCAGTAGCGTCAGTTAATTTTTCTTCCTTGGGTAATTTGTCCAATTTGTCAACTTTTTCCTCTAATTGCATTTCAATAATTTCTTCTCCCTTAGGTTCGATAGCATGACCCGTGGCATCTGCTAACTTTTCATCCTTGGCAACTTTTTCATCGAGTTTCATTTCTTTTTCGATAATTTTCGTATCCGGCACTTTTTCTTCCTTCGGCGATGACACCAAAGCTTTTGGTTCGATATATTTTTTCTCTAATTCTTTAAGCTCCTTTTCGGAGACAATAATTTTCTCATCTTTCGTTGGTTCAGCTTTAATTTCGGTCGGGATTGATACAGTTTCATCTTTTTCTTCTTTTTCCTTGACTTCAACTTTTTCCACTTCTTTTTTCATTTCATCTTTTTCTTTGGATTCAACTGGCTTGACAATTTCCTCAATTTCTTTTTTCACTTCCAACACAACCTTGGCTTCCTCCTTAACGTCCAACGATAATTTTCTTGGAATCGTTTCGTCGACAACCGTAATACTTTCTTTACGAGATGGCTCCTTTTTAATCAAATCATCCTCTACCTTCTTTTCATCCTTTTTATCTTTCACAAATGGTTCTTTATCAACTTCTTTAATTTCAATTTCCTTTAATTTGATTTCTTCTTCAACGAGTTTTATTTCTTCTTTTTTAACATCTTTAACGTCAGGTTTTTCTTTAGCTTCGTCAAGATATTTTTCAGTAGTATCAACGATTTCCGATACTTCAGAAGTTTCCGTTTCGATTGTGGTATCATCGATGACTTTTTTCAATTCATCTTTTTCTATTTTTTCGGTGTCCTTCTTCTTCATCGTCACCTCGACATCCTCTATATCCTTCTTTCCAATTTTTTCTTTGACCTCCTTTACGAACTTTTCTTCGGCCTCAATGACATCCGAAGTGTCATCTTCAATCTCCTCCTCAGGTTCTTCTTTCTCTTTTCCAATTTGCAACGTGACCTTTTCTGCAACACTAACCTCCTGAACTTTGTATTCTTGTTCGACCGCTTCGAAATCATCTGTAACATCTTTTTCGTGTTCCTTTGTTATTTCAATTTCATCATCTTCTTTCTTTATTTGCGGTTGAACTTTTTCATCTTTGGATAATAAAATTGCTTTAGATGGAATACTAACGAAACCATCTTCAACTTCTTCCATACTTTCGGGAGATAAAACTTTTTCTTCTTCTTCTTTTTTTGTCTTAAATATGTCTTCTTTTTCTTTGTCTTCCTTTTCTTTTGTTTCCTTTTCAACCTTTACGTCTTCTCTTTCTTCTTCTTCTTCTTCTTCTGGGCTAATAACTGCACCAATCGATTTCCTCTTTTCTAATAGAACTTCGGATTTTGTAATATCCACTTTTTCATCTTCCGGTGATAGTTCTTCGCGAAGATCGCGTAATTCTTCGCTAGAAATATCGTATACCATTTCTTTGGTGATCTTTCTCTTGATAATAATCTCTTCGATGATTTCAATGACGATTCTTTTGGGTACAGATTTTCTTATTGAAATTTCTTCGATTATTTGAATGGTAATTCTTTTACCTTTTGTAATATACTCGTTGATAATGTATTCTTCGATTTCAATGATCTTTTCCGGTGTTATAGTAGTTTTAAGAAGATTAACATCGTCCATTATACTTTCTGGATGAAGTTTCTTCTTAACAATAATCTTTTCGATAATATAAATTACACGTTCCTTTGGCACGCGTTTAACAACAGTAATATATTCGATTATCTCGATAGTTATCTTCTTTTTCTTAGTGATTACGAGTTCTTCGATAATTTCGTCCAAGGGTGTTGGTTTGTTAAGTACATCTTTTATTTCAACGATCAATTCTGGTAATTTTTCTTTCAAGATTTCTTTCGTCAATTCTTCATCGTAAACTTTGTCGGTGGTGAATTTTGGCGAAGTCGGTGCAGAATCCGGTGTAACCATAACAACTTCAGCTTTTGCCGGTGATACCTTTTGTTCGAAGGTAATTATTGGTTCTTCTATCACTTGTTTTGGTACTTCATCTATCGACGGTCGTTTGGCTACATCCTTTACACAAATTTCTTCTAGACCTGCTTTCATAACGTCAACTAAAGTAGTATCCTCGATTTCTTTCTTTTCATCGCAAATATAATCGTCATCCTTCATTAAATCGTCGCAGATTTTCTTAGCATCCTGCTTATCCTTGATTTGATCTTTCTTCGGTGAAGTTATTTCTTCTACGTCTTTGATAACTTTTTTACATGGTTCTTCTTCAACTTCGATTGCTCCAACGGGTTTCTCGTAAATCGGTAAAGGTTTAGCGATTTCTTTAGGAATTTCTTCGGCAAGGCTTATAATACTTGCAGGTAAAGGAACATCCTCTACGATCGGTTTGAACACTTTGTCTTCGAATTTGGCTAGTTTGTCTTCAGGCTCGATTGATTTTTCACTCGGTATCGAGACCTTTCTTTCGGTCGGAGAAGGTTCCTTCTCGGAAGGTTTCTCAAACAATATCTCTTCGGATAGGAAATCATCTTTCTTTAATACTTCGGCAACTTTTTTCACGATTTCAACGACATCTTTAGGCTTGTCGTCGATCACTATACCTGCCGATCCAGCGAGAACTTCGCCAACATCACGGACTGCTTCTTTAACGTCCTTGATCGGGCCAACCGGTTCTTCTTCGTATTCTTCTTCGAATTCTTCGTCCTTAGGAATATCGAACTTAACTTTTTCTGCACCTTTTATTTCGCCTAATCCTTCGATCTGTGGTTTCATCTCTTCTAACTTTTCAACGACTCCTTCCAAAGTGTCTTTGACGATATCCTTGGTAAGTCCTGCCTCGTGACGTAAAAGATCTTCTTCTTCTACGATCTTTTCTTCCAATGATTCCAAGGAATCTCTGAGGCTGTCCTTGACTGTTTTGAATTTTTTCGAAGCTTCCTCTAAGAGAGCTTTTACTTCTTCAACGTCTTCCCCAATTTCTTCTTCCTCTTTAACGAATTTCTCCTTTTCTTCTTTCTCTTCCTTTTCATCGAGTTTATCGATCGGTGAAATGATTGGCTTTTCAGCGATAACTTCGACCTTGTCGGACACTTTAACTTCCAAATCTGGTACACTACGTCTCTTCATTTCCTTTGATTCTTCTTCTTCTACCAATGCTGTAGTTTCCTTGATAGTTGCAACTTTCACTTCAGACGGCACTGGCTCAATCTTTTCGAATACTTCTGGTTTCTCAGTTACTTTGCCCACCTTTGGGAACATTTTTTCTAGGTCTACTTCCTCCAAAGTGATTTTTTCCTGTACTTTAGCTTCCTTAGGAGAACTAGATTTCGATGACGACTTATCCTCTTCCTTTTCGGCCTCCCTTTTTGATTTTTTCGTTAACTTATCGATTCCCTTTTCAAATTTATCAGCTACCTTGCCGAAGAAACTGAAAACACCTTTTTGTTCCTTGACCGGTGGTGTTGGTTCTGGTTCTTTGATTGCTTGTGTTGGTGGTGGTGGTGGTGCTGCTACCACTCTTTCTTCCTTGTCCTTTTCGAAATCCATTCGATATAATTTCGGATCGACTTCTTCGTGAACCGGAAGATCAGCAACTTCGTCCGGGGTTTTGACAATGTCTCGTTGCAATCCTTGTACCGCTTGTCTTACGTCGAAAACTTTGACTTCGGGTTTACTCACAGGTGGAATAGCTTGAACAATAATTTCTTTTTCAGCTTTAACAGGTGCATCTTTTTCCTTAACTTCTTCGATAACGTGTTTCTCATCTATATCTTCCTTTATTTCATCTAATGGAATACGTTCGTCTTCAGGAAGTGTCGGTGCAGTTGTCGTTGCACCCGATTCCAACGTCGATATACGTTCCTGAGATTCCTCTAATTTTTCCGGAATGTGTTCCTTTTGATCCACCTCAGGTTTCATGTCAGTGTCGGTTGTCTTCTTTTCAGAAGAATCCAATTTGTCTGGACTCAAACTGGAAGGTTCTTTAGTGATTTCTTCGCTATCTTTTTTACCAGAGTCATCCTTATCTTCCGGCTTTGGTGTAATTTCTGGTGCCGTTGTAGGAAGAACTTTTTCTTCCGGTGACACTACTTTCTTTTCTTCTTTCATCGGAATCTCCTTTTCGGTAATTTCTACTTTTTTCTCGGGACTTTCTATCTTATCCTTTTCCGACTCCTCTTTCTCACCCTTTTCTTTTGTTATTTCCATAGTGTCTTTGAGTATTTTAGTCTTCTCTGATTCGGCTTCGTCCAAAATATGTTTTTGTTCACCTTCGCCACTTTGTACGGAATCCTCAGTATATATCTCTTCCTTTTCGACGATCAAAATCTCATCCTCTTCCGTTAATTCTTGACTTTCCTTACGAGAACTTTCCTTCTTAGGTGCGTCCTCGATTTCAGCTGTCACGTCCTCCTCGGTCATATCTTCTTCCTTTTTATCGGTAGCTTCGGCCGTAATTTCATCGTCACCCTCGAAACGATCGTCCTTTCTGGTCTCCTCCATTCTCTCGGCTTTTTGTAAAACTGCCTCGATCTCTTCGACTACTTCACGTTCTTCCTTCAAATCGGCCAATACTTTACTTTCGATAGAATCCAATGAAATGTCTTCGGACTTTTCGATCAAACTTTTTTCGACAAGTTTAGCCGTTGATTCTGGTTCAACTCCGGATGGTGTAGATACCGTTGAAGAATCCGTAGTACCTTTATCTCCCTTCATCTTTCTGATAACACCATCTTTATCTGACTTAACCGAAGCTGTCGGTGTACTTCGGGTTGATTTAGCAGGACTACCAGGTACTCGTGCTTTGCTTGGACTAACTGGTTTAGTTCTTCGACTTATCGGCTTTCTATCCATTGGCTTTGGCTTAGCCGACACTTTAACAACTGCAACAGGTGCCTCCTTCGCTACCGATTTCTCAATATTCTTTTGTTCAACAACCTTTCGATTGTTAGCATCTTTGGCACTTTTAGCTGGTGCCGTTGATATTGGTTTTGTTGTTGGTCTTCCTCTCATAGGTCCAGTCTTTGATATTTCAGTTTTAGTCGCAACACCGTTCATCGTTTTCTTCGGTGTAGTTGGCGATGATTTGGAAGCATCTTTTTTCTCCGAACTGGATATCTTCATCTTTTTATCTATCGATTTAACTTTAGACGAAACTTCGGTTTTCATTGATTTGCCAATTTTTGGTTCCTTCGGTTTCTTTATTGGCTCTGCTTTTATTTTAGATTCTTTCGTTGGAATAACTTTATCTATTTCATCCTTGACCACTTCCTTTTTACTTATTTCCTCGTCACGTTTCTCCTGTTTTTCTGGTTTCTCAACTTTTTCAGGTTTAATTATATCCTTTTTAGCTTCTTTCTTCGTTTCTTTCAATTCCTTTTCTATTTTCTTTTCTTTCGCGTCAATGTCGATCTTCTTATTCTCCGCTAACTTTTTCGGTTTGTCTTCTATTTTTCTTGGTTTCGATGTTGGTATTATCGGTGTCGATTGTGGCGTTCCTTTAGTCGATATTTCATCGACACCTTTGAAACTTTTGATTTCTGCCGATTCTTTCTTTTCTTTTTTAATATCGATATCTTTAGTTTTCTTTGCTTCCTTTTCGATCAAGCCAAACTTTTGCCTAACTGGCTTGTCCTTTAAGGTTACCAACGACGTCGACGGCGAAAGACTCTTTGCCGAACAAACTGGATGTTTCAAAAATTCCAAATGTTTTAATCGTTCAAATCCTTCGAATATTTTATGTTGAGGCGTACTTCCGGGAAATAGGATTCTGGTAATATTATCTTCGGGATTAGCTGGTTGCCAAACCAGTAACGCGCATATCGAGACAAGATTTTGAATAGGAAATGTTAAATTATTCGAGTCCTTTTTATGCGTACCAGCGAACAATTTAACGTCCGACGTATGCCACTTTGCCAAAAATTCTCTAACTTCTCGGCTGTCTTTGTTAGGGCTTAAAACGTACATGTCTAATGTACCGTGTCCAACTTTGTGATATAAATTTATTGGATCGGGATCTCTGTAGCATGGATGAGCACGAAGATTGATGTGTCGAAGATTGACAACTATTTCTTGACCGACATCTGTCAGATTCAATATCAAGGGATCGATATCTTTGTCGCCGTCTGGTGAATGAGATTGTCTTCTTTCCTATAAAAAAAAAAAAGAATCCAAAATTTGATACAATTGTAGCTGTAATTATGGAAAGATTAGTTAATCCAATTGTATGTTGAAATATGCGACTAATTAATTTCTATGATTTGTATAATATTAGGCTGAATCAAAAATACGTCCGTCTTTTAAATGAATATTTTCAAAATAAATTGTACAAAACAAAAAAAACAAAAACAAAACAAATCCATTATGCAATTTTTCAAAGTAAAGTTTCAACAGAATAAACGCACTTTTGTTTTTACCCTAATATTTGTCAAACGAATGATTAAATAAATTGTTACAAATATTATCAATAAATAATTATCCAATAAATATTGTTTACTTACAACAAGGTTGCAAAAGAAATGACCGATTTGTGGATAGACGTGCATCTCCTTTTTCTTACGAAGAACACTGGACATGCCACCGATATTACTATTATTTATCCTAGTTAACAAAACAGCATCTAAGCGATCCAGGTGCCTGGTGAAATCCCAAAAGCACGCTTTTCTCGCGAAACCACCGTCGACGAGCATGTTGAAGCCGTTTATACCAAATAGTGCGGCATCACCTTGCCCGCCAGGGAAGACGTATAAAGTAGGATGGCTGAACCTGATGTTACCAACAACATCGGACGGTTCCATCAATTGGTCTAACGTTTGAACAATTAAATATTGTCCAACGTAATTTATGAAGCTCGTGATAGCTGGTACTCCAGCCGTTAATACATCGTCTGGATTTACTCGAACGCGGCAGGATCTTTAGAAAAACAAAAACAAAAAATCATTAATTTGTTAGTTATTGTCAAAAGAATATTATTTTATCATAAATGTATCGATAATTATGACAGTGGATTCTAATTAAAAGTTAACAAAAACAAATTAAATTAAACAATTAAAATCAATTAGACTTGATCCGTTGTTAAAAAGATCTTCGTATATTTACCCATGATATTTTTTGTTTAATAAATAAATAAACATTAGATTACCTGGTACATGGTTCCTTAGATAATCGAGTAGTCGTCCAATCACCGACACCCGCACAATGAATATCTACCGTAACGCTATTCTCGTAGGCACGAAGGACTCTTTGTACTTCATGTTCGCTGAACGCATCAAGAAAGTCCGCAAGACTGAAGGTTCCATCCTAAATGAACGAATGACATTTGACCAGTGACAATAGTAATTATCATTTTCGATTGAAAATTCTATCGTTTAATATCGAATGAATTTGTATTTACCTGTAGTATCCAGGAACCATTTCCACCGAATGTATATCCAGCGTGTATGATGTGTCGATGCTTCGTGAAACTTGCGAGAAGATTTCGAATGCATTGTAGTAAAGTATTCGTTTGCGGGTGTATCAGAACCTCCGTAACAAGGTTTTCCGTTGCATATTGAATTAAACGTTCTCCTATATATACATAAATATATATATATATACATGAAAATATAATTTCAATTAAAATTAAATTATATTCTATGTATGATATCGATGATAATTATCTATTATTAGATTTAATCTTATTACCGTTTCGAGCTTCCTCGCCTTCGGGAGCTTGTGCTATTAACGCTTGCAATTCTTTTTCCAAATCTACGTGACAGCTGTCTTTGTCCCATGATAGGAAACCTAAAAATAAAGATATAATATAAAAAAAAATTTAATCGTTAAATAACTTTTTCATTTTTTATTAGAAAAACTTTATTTCATTCCAATGACAAATTTATATTAAGTTTAGTTTTAGTTTGATTATTTTCTATTTTAACTCTTCAATTTATTCATCATAAAACTTTCACATTATTTTTTATTAAAGTAAACAATAAGTGTTTAATCCGATATTGATTGTTTGTATCGATATTGTTAACTCTAAAGGAATAGTAGGATATATCAATCTTCTATCCCGTCGTTATAATAATAATAAAGTAAGTGTGGTTAAGAGCGAATGGAATAGTGGGTCATAATCCACAAGAGAGAGAGAGAGAGAAAGAGAGAGAGAGAGAGACTTTAGCATCGGTTAGGTTTCATAAAGTGAGGGTTGCCCGGGAGTTGGATGATGTAAGGTTAAGGTTAAGAAGGTGAGGAGAACTGTCTTACTAATTGTAAGACCCAAGTTACAAAGGCACTACTTGATCGATGTAAAAAAAAAAAGTGAAGAAGTGACATCAATGCTATTTTGAAATGCAATTGTGAGCAATCTCTCGTCTTCACTTTCATCAAAAAGAATTGTAGCAATTTAATAATTACTACGAACGTATTATAATTATTATTACAAACTAATATAAAAATCTTAAAACCAACTTTAAAATCATTGCTAATAAACATGTTAAAACCAATGGGATCGTATACATATATATATAGCTGTAATGGAATGAAATAGAACGTATCGATCAAGAAATGTAATTTATCTTAAAAATTGCTAAAAAGAGAGAAAGAAAAAAAGATTGCTCGTTGAAGGGATCGTTCAGTGACGTCATAAACACCGCACCCCGTCACGTGGTTCCTTGCCAGTCAGCAATCGATCGTCGAGTACTCTGTGTGTTCCTACTGGCTTTCGACTTCCAACTTGAATTCACTTTTTCATTTGATACCGTACGATCAACGTTAAACCCATAAAGTGTGTTCAAATAAAAAATATAGAATAATTAAATGAATGAATAAAATCGTTGTGTAATTTATATCATACGAATGAATATATACTGGTGACCAAAAAAGTAATGTATAAGTTTTCTTTTTTTTTTTTTATATTAAATCCTAAACTCGACTTTAAAGTATGTTACACAACGAACAGCTGATGAAAGGTAAATAAAATATTGGCATGAACAAAAACGACATAACTTTCTGGTCCCCTTAATAAATATATATATATATATATAGTATATGTTATTTTTAATATAAAATACTATAGGTACGTAATTTAGGTCAATAGAAAAAAGTAAATAATTTGAAAATGATATCTCGCTAGATATGGCGCTTGTTGGCGCCAATTTTCCATCATTGACGAAATTCTTAACAGTTTAATCGTTATCATGAACAATGAAGTAACGAAGTTGAAACTGTAATTACTTCGTTCGGACTATTTCCTATAGAATTAAAGGATTGATGATGCAGCCAAATGGAACGAAGCCGGTTGCTATGGGAGTTTCGAACGGCTCTCTATCGCGTAATTCTATACCGTTGTGTGTATATACACCAAGAGAAAGATAGAAAGAGGAAGAAGAAGTATAGTATAAAGTTAGAGAGAAAGAGAAATAGTAGACAGCTTCGAGACGTTGCTTGGCAACTGTGGTATCAATCAATGACGAGGACAAACGGGAATTAAGAGATCGTCGGACAATCGGTTAAGGAAGAAAAAAGAACAAAATATCATTTACATACCACGTGCAAGATTTTTCATACATTTTCTTTCTCTCTTTCTCTCTCTCTCTCTCTCTATTTTTTCATTGGAATAATCGGTAATTAAGAAAATCTAATATTCCCCCTTGTTTTCCTTTTCTTTTATATTTTTATACTTTGCCTTTGTTTCTTATCAATACCCACCCCCCTGTTAATTAAACCAATTAAAATAAAGACAATGAAATAAATGACATTTTTTTTTGTATTGTAATCAAATGCAGTATTATCTCATCAGTAATGGAAATAATCTTCCTTAATAAGATGAAAAGTATTAAAATATATATATATATATATATAAGTAATGTCTAAAATCCATAAATTGTGACACGCCGAACAAACCGTGCGGTGTGCTGTGTATGTCAAATTGATCGGAAGCCCTGGGGGTGATTCAAGAGAAGCCGTGCCTCAAGGGTCATGCCTCTTAATACTTACTATCGGCCTCTGTCCACTTTATTCGCGATAAGTATTCGCCATATCGAACGTATTAACTATAGTTATACTTCGTCGAGGACGGAAGGACGGACGAGACCGTCGAACCTATAGACGCTTTTTCTTGGATTAAATAAACCACGATAAACTCTACTTATAGAATTATATTTAGGTATATTTCAATTATTTCTAGGAAAATATATAATAACATTATTTTATTTAAATATTCTGACATTTTTACATTAGTATCTTTATCGATTAGATTTTGAAAATGTCGACGACTATACTAATTTAAAATACCGCAATGCGTTAGACCTGTTTTTTATATACTGTTTACAAGAACATTGTACATTGCTCGTTCGACCGTATTCCCACGAGTAACGTGAACCGCGAATGTAAATTAGCACTTTTGTAAATTACAACTGGTGTTAATGTGAGGTTTGGTCTGCGATGTCAACGCCTTTACATCCCGAAATTTCACTGAATCAAATCGGTTTGAATTGTTTTATTGTAATCGGTAAGAAATGTGACACGTTGTTTAAATTGTTTAAGCAAATAATAATATTCTTCGATCATTGTAATATTTTTCAAATAATCAATTTTGGAACTCATGAAAAATTATTATTCGTTCATTTAAAGAGAAAAAATGATCTGACGATTAAATGATGATGAATATTGCTATTTTTCATATTAAATTCAAGTTTCAACTTGAAGAAAAATAACTTTGAAATTCCTGAATGTATTATCGACGTGGGTTAAAATTAAGGACACGATTGGATTCGTTTGTCCTATCGTAACGCTATGACACTTAGTTGACGTTTGTATCTTTCACCTTAAAATAGGACGTTGCATTTAAATAGGTAAATATCGAGCGAACGAGAAACACATACAAAAGCTTCCTACGCTAGTTTAATCAGTTGAATTAATGTTCCTATCGTTATGTGCAGCGCAAAGTTTTCTCAAGGTAACATTATCCCAGGAAAAAGTTCATTAGGTTTTGTTTCGTTTCGATATTCGATTATTAAACATTAATTCTCTAATTGATATAACCAATTGTTTAGAATCCTATTATAATACAATTTAAAATATGTATCAACGCTTGATCGAACTATTATTCCCCGAACTCTTATAATTTAATAATTATTATTTTGCAATTGAGAGAACTAACTGAAAAATTTCCGTTATAATGTACCAATATGAATAAGAACATTTAACAAATAAAATTATTTACTTTTTTAATGTACTAATATACCCAATCAGAAATCATTTTTTTTTAAATGTATTATAACTTTACGAATAATAATTGAGGTAAACAACATATGATGCTATCGCGCGAACTATTGTTTTATTATTATATTCATCTAACGTTCACTCTAATGTTTTAAAAACACATTCACCGTAATACTTTCAACCGACGAATTCGCGAATTTCCTTGGCAGAACCAAGAAGCGCATTATGAATTAGTATCCTAAGCTAAGTATAGGACAAAGTTCTTTCTCTGGTCGCAAGCTTTAACCCGCTCTTCTCTCTATCCTTTACTACGAACACTTCATTCTCTCTCTCTCTCTCTTTATCCTTCTATCTTTCTTCCTCGCACGAGCCTTGCATTTCTCGATTTGCATTTGCCTTTCCCCATTTCTCTTTTCGTTTTCTTCCCTTTCGAGAAGACGTCGACGACTACGACGGATGCGGGGAATGCTGGGTTTGGCCCACCTATGTTTAGACGTGTTACCTCCCCCTTCTCTCCACCCTCACCCTATCCCTTCTATCTCTCCGGCTTTACCTCTTTCTTCTTACACACACTGACGCACAGTGGATTTGAACATTTTTTTGGTGAAAAACAAAATCAGTCCAGTCAGTCAGTCAGTCAGTCAGTCAGTTAGTTAGTCAGTCAGTCAGTCAGTCAGTCAGTCAGTTAGTCAATCAGTCAATCAGTGTTCAGTAAATTTTTTTTCAATTAGAACAACGTTCGTTAGATTTCGATTACTTCTTTTTTCTTCTTTTTTTTAAATCATGGGAACAATCGATATCTCATTTCAATTTTCTGTAATGTAATATTAGAATTCAGGTCTGTGCAATAAAAGAATCGATTTATTATAATACAATCAAGCACACAATCAAGCGTCTTTGATTTTTTTTTTTTTTTTTTTAACCAACAATTGGGAAAGTATATATAATAAAATGTAACAAAAAATGATTACATATACATATTCGCTTGAAAACAATCAATTGCATTGTAATTATCATTATTTTTTCTGTAAAACTATTTTTATTATTTTTACGTGATTTCTTTTTTAAATTTTGTATTAATGGATTTTTTCTCGTAAAATAAAAAATAAATAAATCAATAATAATACAAAAATTTCTAGTATCGACGATGACAAAAGTTTTGTACGATTTAACTAAGTTTCGAAGATTTGCAAAGAATATTAATTTGTATTGGATTGAAAAAAGTAATCGACAAATTTTCACATTCGATTTCTGATAACTCGAAGTAGAAGTAGAAGAAAAAGAAGAAGAAGAAAAAACAGCTCCCTCCCATCCCTTCGATATAATTTAACAAGGCCCTTTTTTCACCATTCTTCCAACCTCCTCCTTCTTCGATTCACTCTCCTCTTTGTTTTAACAATTGATTAAGAAAGAAGTAAAGGGAGAGAAAAGAGAGAGAGAGAGAAAGAGAGAGTTAGTGAGTGAGACAATTAAGCCGCGTATATAAGTATTAATATTCTAAGTAAGTCTTTTGTCTTATAACAGGGTCAAAATGGGTCCTCGAGAATTGCTGAGACGGCACTCGATTAATCGCGTCT